GGCCCTGGTTCCGACTCCCAATTGCTTGCGACGCCTTGCTGGCCTGGAACTCCCTTGCCCTCGCTCCGCGTCTTTGCTGCCTCTCCATCTCGCATTTCGCCTCTTACCGACTCCCTACGCACCGCCACAGCCCCCGTCAGGCCATCGCCGGCACAACCGTCCAAGGTCTTTGCTCTGCCCATCGCCATTCCAGGCTCCTATTCACGACTCTACGCCCAAGCCACTGTACGACGCCACACCCTCGACCAGACCGCGCGCTTTATAAAAAACCCCAGGGACACATGCCACGCGCACGCCGATTCTCCCCCAAAGCCCCATTAATGTCGATTGAATGCCTCCTGTGTTGAATCCCTTCCTACGGGCCTTCTTCCGTAGTGCACTCCCCAGTCAGTGCCAGCCAGCGCAGCACCACGTACGCGCCCCAGTGTAACATATCCCATATATCCCCAGTCGCTAACACTCCAGCTCCCAGGTCCTTCTGGTCCCGACGACTGAGTCCCTCCTGACCTCGCGCGATAAGGAATCGAACACGTCGTACGCCGACCTCAGCGGTTCCGAAGACTTCCTCGCCAGTCATGTTCTGCGCATCCCAGGCGGCGCGGGACCCAACGGCCACCTCAGGGACACGGGCAGCTTCAGGGAATCGCGGGGCAAGGCAAAGCAGTTCACCACCGCAAACGGCCGCACAGTAATTGTTAAAGATGCCTTCATATACAGCAACAAGGGTTCGTGAGCATGCGTACGGTACGTCATGCATCGTCGCGCGCTGATGACAATGCAGGCTTCAAGACACTCAACCAAGCCCAGCTCCTTAACGATACCATCTTCTACCCAGACTCCTTCGACGCCCAGCCCTGGCTCGTCTACTTCATATCCCGCCCCCTCATCGGCACATACGACCCCAACCCTATAATTCCCGCTACACTGGGACCCAAGTACAATGCAAGAGCTGAGCCACCGGCCGTGGCCAGTTCGTCGGCAAGCGGCGCCGGCTCGTCCATGCCCCGGAAGAAGGAGGTCAGGTCGTTTGGTGATCTCTTAAACCACTTTCCCATGATTGCACGACAGATGCAGCCGGGCCTGGAAAGGATATTCAAAGAGTTTGGCAACGAATTGCAGAAACCGCTGCCAGCAATACCATCGCAAAGGTCGCGGCCATCTTCAATGAGTTCAAAAAGCTCAAAGAGACGTGGGTCGGTATCCTCGGCAGACACGGCACCAATCTCTCTGCACAGCAACATGTCCTATGTCCCCAACGGCTTCGTCTCGAATCTCGAAATCAGCGACGAGGAGGATCAGATGCGCAGATCGCTAGAGACGGCCGTCACGGCAGCCATTGACCTCTTTCAGATGGTGGACAAGCAACAATTATCACTGCTGGGGGCGACAACGGATCTCACCGGACCAATCGTGGAGCGCATGATTGAGCGCTACGTTGCCGAGCAAGTACATCACACGATTCTGTTCCCACGCATACAAACCATACGCCAACTTGAAGACGCCGATCTCGAGCGACGAACCCAGCAAATGATGGATATCGATATATCGCAGGTCGGCATCGACATTGGGCACGGTCGCAAAGGGAAGCAAGAACTTGCCATACGGTTGTCCAGGGCTGTAGACATGTTTAAGAAGATGGGGGTTGCCGGGAGTCCACAGGAAATGCTCGAAATCCTGCTTGCGGTGCAAAAGCACATCACCATGCCAGACGAATCTCAGGAGAAGATGATGACAAACGGAGCACCGTTATCAGAAAAGCAGGATCATCTGCTCACAATTAACGCAGATACATTGGTGTCACTGCTGCTCATTGTAGTCATTCGGGCGCCCGTTCGGCATCTCCAGGCACGGTTATCTTACATGCGGCATTTTATCTTTATTGACGATGTCGAAAGCGGCGAAATGGGCTACGCACTCAGTACTTTTGAAGCGGTGCTCTCATATTTAACAACAGATTCTGGAGGCTTGCGGAGAGCAAGCAGACGGAACCGGGCACTATGGCAGGCAACCAAGACTGGTGATATCGAGACCATCCAAGGGATATTGGAGCCTGATAAATCCTTTCATCCAGAATCAGACAGTTCCACAGATCAGAGCGATACTCCGCCAAGGCATCGTCCAGTTAGATTTGCGGCAAGCCTCTCAGACCTTCAATCCCTAGGGGGAACTACAATGAATGGCGACGACGAACCACGGATACGGCATCAAAGTCCAACTCGTGATGAGAGCATGTACGAAGACGGTCCGCTGGCGCATATTTTCCCCTTTCAGCGGGCTCAGACGCCCCCGCTGCCCAGAAGACCCAAGATGAAGAAGAAGGTATCGATGGATACAAGGAGCATGTCAAGTGGCTCAGCGCGGTCGTACCATTCTCGCACGACGCTTGATTCGCGTGTCAGCGCTATCGAGGGCGATGTTTCGATAGAGAAGCTTACCATGACACAAGGCCCAGACGGCGAGTCGGTCTTGATGATGGCCATTGAGAACGGGCAAGACAGGGCACTGCAATATCTCCTTAGTTTGACCGAGTACTATACACCTCTTCATGTCTTCGAAGATTATAATAATGAAGGTGTCAACCTGCTGAGTGCAGCGATTCAACAAGGCCATGCGAAGACGACAGACACGATTCTCAACTACCTTTTGGAGAACAGCCCGAGTCCTGAAGCATTACGAGACTATCTAGCGAAGCCAGATGCCAAAGGCAGATGTGTAGCGCATTATCTCTTCAACCAACCTCGTCTGATTGATCGTATCGGACACCTACTGCCTTGGCGGCTAAAGGACAAGAACGGCCAGACTCCTGTTTTTGCTCTGTGTAGATCATACGACCATGATGAATATCATGATATGGTTGACAAGGCCCTTCTAGCCGCGACTTACTATCAAAATGACGGACAACCACTGCATCTCGACGAGCATGTTGATAACAAGGGAAACAGTCTCCTGCACATCATCACTGATCCTCAACTAGCCGCCAAGTTGCTATATCGCTGCGACTCGGATGCAAATGCAACCAATGACAGACAGTTCACGCCACTCATGGTAGCCAGCAAGTATGGCAGAACAGACATGGTGCGAGTTCTGTTTCAAGATCCCAGGGTCGACCTGTCGTTCAGAGACGCACGTGGTCTTACGGCTGTGGAGCTTGCTAAAGACGACGACGTTCGTAATCGAATTGATGATCTGGTGTTGTTATCAAATGAGGCTGGGCCTGATGGACGAACCACTACTGTCGTCCGGTCCTTCTTTGTTGAAGACGGGACTGTACGTTTAGTGTTGAAATCTGGAGCACCTAACGACAACAAGTCCATTACTGTTACGACATGTCGTCGTTCATCGCACGACTTTGAGAATCTCGCAAAGTGGCTAGCACAAGAACACCCGGCATCGTGGCTGCCGGTTATAGATACCCTGGCATCGCCATACCTCATCCCTTCAAGACCTTCAAGGTCAATACTGCGCGACATGCAACTCCGACTAGACGCCTTCCTCAAGATTCTCCTAAAACACCCTACTTTTTCAACACACGAGATGGTATGGGAGTTTTTCCTCGTGCCAGACATTGACTCGTCCATGCTTGCAGAACGCTCAGCACGCAAGGCTGAACTGCGCGTTGAACGCCTGCGTGAAGATTACACGCCTATTCTTGATGTGCGAGAAGTTGAGCTTTTTGTTCAGCACATGCGTGAGAACATTCGCGCCCTCCATCACGCATCACGATCAGTTCTCCGCCGCGCCAACAAGGTCCGCTCAGCAGCATCTGACCTTAACGACGCGTCCAAGATCTTCAGCACAGCCATGCACTCCCTCATATTTTTGCCTCCTGCACACCTCAAGGCCTTGGAGCGCTACACCAGTACTCTGAGACAAAGTGAAGCAAGTCCCATGGCAGGCTTCTACTACTCCATGCACGCCATCTCCAGCACCATCGCTGCCATCCTCACTGCACTCTCCCGCCCATCTACAATCATAAATTCCATGTCCAACGCTCAAAAAGCAATCGACAGACACAACCTCTCCGTGCGGCGCTCCGACCGCTGGCCCCTGGGTCTCCTCGACGATGCGCGCAGCAGAGTCCAGCGCGACGCCCAAGTCAAAATGGACAAGAGCAAAATCGAGCTCGAAGATCTCGGCAGAGAACTGCGATATACTCAGCAAGTCGTGGCCCAAGAACTAGCTAGTTGGCAAGAAAACAGGGTCGAGACGGGACGGAGGGCACTCAAGGAGCTTGCGAGGAAAATGTGTGTTGCTGAGCGCGCGAGGCTGGATAGCATGAAGCGTGCTGTAAGGGAGTTGGGGATTGGTCTAGATAAGCAGCAGGTGAAGCCGGGGTCTTTTGGCAAGCACGCCGCGGTGAGCAACGGAGTACCTGTCGCGGCCGCTATGGGTAATGGCCATGCTGGACCTGCAGGGCACGTCAAAAGGACCGAGGCTGCCGTTCCACAACACCTTCATCTCAACGGAGGTTTGACAGACAAACACGTCAATGATGGCCCCGGCTCTGTGGAGCATCCAGAGGAAGAAGGCGTCGTCTTGTCGAATGGAGAGTCTGCGGCTGAAGATGCACCGCTTGCAGATGAGGTTGCGCTTGAGCAGGGTGTCAAGGCGATGGATTTGGCTTAGCTAGATGAAGAACTAGCAACCCAGGGGGGGGGGTTGGTTTACGTCCCTTTTTTACCTTTTTTTCCTCTTTCACTTCTTTATATTGGGGGATTTTTGGTAGACTATATAATTAGGGGGTTCGAACTATATGCAATTAGTAGTTTTACTCCTTTTTATTTGAATAAACCCTCGTTTTTTTGGTCTTCCTTACTTCGCTTGTATCTTGTTGCTTGTTTATCCTGCGGTGGTAGAAGCACGTTGAGTTTGGGTATGGCCAAAAAGAAGCATATTTTAGATTTGGGGATAAACATTGTTTGCAATCATTATGCCCTTCTTCTTACTTTTCTTTATGTTCCTTTTGCTCACATATGCAAATCCTACAGTGACATCCCCGCTCAAACTGTCTCTGTCTTCGCCGTCTCCCCCTTCTCTTTCTTCGCCAACATCTCGATTCTTGCCTGCGCCTCTTGTTTGGCCTGAGCCGCAGCCACATTCTCTGTATTCTGACCAATATGCTCACTTCCCTTTTTGGTTTGCCATGCGTGTGGACCGTCTTTGCTGAAAAGGACTTCGATTTCTTCGAGGGTTTTGCCGCAGGTCTGTTTGGGGGAAAAAAAAGAAGGTTAGTTGAATTTTGTTCCGTGATGAGGAGAGTGTAAACGTACCTCTGGGTATGTGAAGAAGAATTGGGTTGCGGCGAGAAGACATAGGACGCCGAAGACGATGAAGAGACCCCATTTTATGTTGAGGAACGCAGGGGGAATGAAGAGACCGATTGCAAAGTTGAAGAGCCAGTTACCTAGAAAATTTGTTAGCGTTTTCTTTCTTTCTCTGGGAGTTGTTGGCGTTCTTGTCTTACCAGTCGCAGCAATGCCCATACCCCACGCGCGAGTCTCAAGCGACCACACTTCCGCGGCGTACACCCAGCAGATGGGCGCGAGAGTAAGAGCGTAGATAATGATCAGAAGGTATGAAAACGCAATGACGGTATTGGCGGGCGAGCCAGTGACTTTCATGACGACGTTGCGGTCGCCTCCAACTCCCTCGGGAATGTATTCGTAGTTTGCGCCAAGGACGCCGCCGACGACGAAATGGCAGATGCCCATTGTAATTGCTCCCCAAACGAGGAGTGTGCGGCGGCCGAACTTGTCAACAAAGAAGAACATGATGGAGGAGAAGATGATGAAGAGCGCATATTGCACGCCTGACGAAATAAGCTTGATATTGCCTTCGAGACCAGCCATTGCGAAGATATAAACGACGTAGTATGTCATGACCTATTGCTCTCGTCAGTCTCTGAAGTGAATAATCAGTCGGGGGGGAGTTCGAGGTACATTTGCTCCAGACAACTGCTGCCACGCCTGCACGGAAAAGCCAGCAAGAGTCCTCTTCCACATGCCGTTGTAGACAAATTTCTTCCATCCCGGCGGTGCTTGACGCTCGGCAATAAGAACAGTCATGATTTCCTCGTACTCAGCAACGACATATGGATCTTCGATATTGCCATTGGCCTGGATGGATGCAAGGACCTGGATTGCTTCCTCTGTGCGATCGACTTTGGCGAGCCATCGAGGAGATTCTGGTAGGAAAGGCAGGCCAATCATGAACATTACGCAAGGTACAAATTGGATGCCCCAAGCGGTACGGAAAGACGCTGTTTCTCCGGGAATGAATGTACAACCGTAACCGATGAAGTACCTACATAGAGTCAGTTTAGTCATCTTTTTGTATATTTTCTTATTACTGACATGAGAAGAATTCCCCACTCAATTGCGAGTTGCTGAATGATGATGATTGCACCACGCTGTGAGTGCTTGGAGATTTCGGCAAGATACACGGGTACCTGTGAGGAAGTGATGCCAACCGTTACTCCGTTCAGGACTCGACCAGCTATCAACATTCCTCGTCCTGTTACAGCGACTTGCAAAGCAGTACCAGCGAGCCACCAGAGACAGGCGAATAGGAGAGCATCGCGACGACCGAATTTATCAGAAACCGGGCCTGCCATGATCGAGCCGACAATAGAGCCTGCAGCAAGAGCAGCACCGATGGCGCCCTGAACGACTCCAGATGGGTTGTCGAAGTAGTCACTGGTGGATGTTAGATCAAGTTGAAAGCATCGTCTTTTAGGAATTGACGCACATGTATTGATCGGTTGGAATAATAGCACTCATCGAAGAGATATCGAAACCAAACAGCATACCACCCATGGTGGCAATGATTGCCAAAAAGTAGACATTGTAGATCTTTGGGACCTTCGAAAACATTTCGACGGCTGGGTGGAAGCTCCCAAGGGCTTCAATTGACGTAGTCGTTTGACCTGCCGCTCCACATCCGCGCGGGGAGGAGAGCTCAATTATAAAGAGAACCAACGTAGTCGGTACTCAAAACCGGTATGCTGGACATGGTCGCTAAAGCAAATGCAATGCATTCCTGTCAAAACGCCAGACTCCACCGATCCAACCAGTTGGAACGACTCGTGAGCTGGTTAAATTGGTTAAAATGCCATACTTCCTACGTAAGCACAGCGGGAACGTGCCGACCAAGCGTGGCCGTTTGTTTGCGCATCGGAGAGCAATCGAAGAATCAAGGCAAGGCCTTCTCCGATTGGCGTTGATTGGCGGGAAAACTGCTCTGGGGGACTCGGGGTTGGCTGGAGGTGGAGAACGGGATGGCGCCTAGCATTTGCGGAGATCGCCTCAGCCGCGTCGTGCATGTGGGTGCGTAAGTGGCGCCGTCTTTATTTGGGCTGCCTGTCATTTTTCTTGAAATTGACATGATTCGATCGCACGTTGCAACCTCTGGTTGCTTTCCTCGGGGCAACGCAGCATGTGACCGTGAAGCGTGGGCGTCTTGCCATATGTGTTATTGTATCCGTCATTTGTCGAGGGATTGAGTGGGGATGTGCGTTACAGAGCCTGGTGGGAATCCGATGCACACAACCCCAAGAGTGGAATCGTGATCATCCATTTGCTTGGCAATCTCCGCCCCTACCGCCTGATATTTGCTCTCGCTGAATCGCATTTGCATTTTTGTGGCCAACGAAAAGCGCACCGGTTAATAATGAGTAGATTTTTACAAGACAACTGAGGCCTGGGGCTGGTAAGCTGTTTCGAGAGCAATGTTGCATCCACATCTGGTCTTTCAAAGCTCAGGCCTGCCTGCGCAATATCGTCATAGCAGGCCAGAGAAAACTCGGCATGCATCGAGCGTGTCAGGGCGCAGTTTCTTGGCACCTTGGAACAATATTGCCGCGGCATATCGTAGAGCCATTTTTCGAGCTCATTGACTTTGCCAAACAAAGTAAATGCTCCTTGTCCTTCGTGTTGGTGACGCATGAGACCATGTTGTGTTAGGCCATTTCATGAGCTTATTCATCTTCTCCAGAATATGTACAATCCAAACTGTGAACTTCAGCACTGTCAGAGGTAGATTGTGATGTTGACAGAAGCATCCATGCCGTGTTTCCTGATTATCGAAGCTGATCTTAGCCTGTTCCTATGTATGCTACTATTCACAGACATCTACAAAATCCTTTGTTCCAAGACTTAAAGTGGGCTGATACTGCAAGCTATCAAAAAGAGATATGTTGCCTAGTTGAGATTGACAGTTCCATAGGTTCAAAATCTTCATTCAGATCTTAATCTTAAAAGTAAGGGGATCACCGCTACACCTGACTATCTGTTGCTTGATATAAAAGTGGAGGAGAGGTATATCAATTAAAGTTTATATGTCCTATATGCTCTTGGTTTGCCAGCATTACAATGAGGCCGTTGAATAAGACTTCGATTTTGCTCGACTCTCTTTTGAGACATCATTCTCATTCACACAAGCCCGAAAGAAGGTACCGATTATCAATTAATTCAGACAGGGGTTTTCCATAGTCCTAGAGCAAAATAAGGTCCAAGACCTTTTATATCAGTAAAACACGCCCAATGCCTAGCACTCAAGCAATATGTGTGTTATTCTTATCATCTGAACTGCTTGGCCTTCTTCCGTTTGCTTTGATCGTTTGTATATACCTACAGCCTCAAGCATTGCACTGCCTTGACCTGTAGCACTAGATGACTCGTCAATGTTCTGTCTGCCCCACTGTCTAATCTGCCAGAGAATCGTGACTTCAGCCAACAAGCCCCGCTCACCAAACTTTGTCAAGTGTCAGCCCCACCTTCTCGCCTGGATACGAGGTCCTACAGGGGGTGTCCAGATGCTTCCCTTTCTCCAAGCTCTGCCATGCTGCTCATTGAATGTACTATATATTTGTCAGTTTTGGTCATTCTTCCATCAAATAATTGGTCTTATGGTCTAGTGGTATGATTCTCGCTTAGGGATTTCCCGAGCATTGCTTGCGAGAGGCCCCGCGTTCGAGTCGCGGTAAGACCCCTTTTTTTGCCATTCTGTTATACAGCAGATGCAGTGTTTTTGCCCTTATCAATTGTCACTCCGTTTCTTTTGCTAGGCTGAGCGGATTGTAATCGTATACCTTGTTTTGTCTCGTAGGAAACCGACTTTTAGATGACACCAGAATTACCCTAAGCTAACAATTGGCCGCACTCTGGGTTCAAAATTATCTTGTTTGCTCAAGTTAGGAAGCGAGTATCCGTGCTGTTGCGCCTTCTGACTTGCTCCCATATGCTCCGTGGTATCCCGCTATTGGGCTGGTCATAGCTTGCGGCTACGAGCTCCACGTAGTAAAACTACTGCAAACCCTCACAGCCAGACAGCATCAAAGACTCTCTTCCTGCCATCCACACCGAAACTCAGCAAAAGTCAGCATGCAATTGCGATGGGACTACCCGTTGGAGCCCGCAGTAGGAGCTTGGGGCCCAACCACGTCAAATCACAAGTAAGTCTTGTTATGGTACCTGCATGGCAGCTTGGGCTTGGCTAACTTAATATAGTTTCTGTGAAGAGGTATTTCATGCCTTTCCCGTAGTGGTTATCCGGGAATGATAACTCATGATGACAAGGACTATATCATCACCCCGTACATTGGTGAATTCATCAACACTCTTACAAACATCAGCTATGGTCCGTGCACCCCAACCACTTGCAGTCCAACACGACAAAAAGGGAAAGCTTACATTTTGGAAAAACAGTAATCTACGGAATCCACGGTCTACGTCGTGTAGCTCCCAAATCCGAAGGTGGCCTCATCTCGACACTCGCTTTCCCTTACTGGGGACTCATCGGCGTGGGCGTCCTCTCCGCCTGGTTCCACGCCACCCTCAAGTACCACTCGCAAATGGGCGACGACCTGTCCATGTTCCTCGCTGTGGGTGCCGTACTACACCAGTTACTGTGTTTTGATGCCACGCGCGCCCAGCGCCAAAAGTACACGCTCTATATCCTGGGCAGCCTGATCCCCATCTCCATCTACCACGTGTGGGCCGACGAGATTATCATGCACGAAATCGCTTTTGCAGCCATGATTTTCCTTGTCTCGAGACACACGCGCGCGCTCATCAAGAAGCAGATTACTAACGAGGCAGCACGCAAGAAGCTTGGGAGCATGGCTACATTCGGTATCTCTACGGGGCTATTTGGGTACTTTCTTTGGAACATCGATTTTCATGCTTGTGGGTATGTTACGCAGTTCAAGCATTGGATTGGACTTCCTTGGGGCTTCTTGTTCGAGCTGCATGGCTGGTGGCATATTTTTACAGCAATTGCGGCGTATGTCGGTATGGCACTCACGGAGTATCTGGTCACCATTGAAGAGGGGAAGAGAGGACACGCGCAGGAGGGATTTGTCTGGCCGGTTAGGGCTGTGTTGAGGGATATAGATACGATCGAGAGGAAGGGAGTTGAAGGGAAGAAGGGTATGTAAGCAAGCGACCTTTTGTGCCAGTATGGAGATGGGTGTGATAACGAAGTGGAGAGACTAAGGTAAATCCGCAGAGGGCCGGATGTTTTCATTTCTAACTTGAAATAAAACCATAGAGGTAGAACGGAATTCCATGGGTAAAATCATTATGTTGAAGAATGTTTACTTTGCTCATGACCTAATTCATCCCGCATCCACAGAGTATTATTCATTTGATTTTCAAAGTAGTTACTGGTGGTCGTACATCTTCATGCCGTTCAGCGATCCCGAAACTCCGCCACAAACGTCACGACATCCCGCAATCTAAGTGCTTCCTTACGACACAATAATTAATCATACAGCAAACCGGACATATGCCTAAAGCCATTGCACATGTTGTCCCGCCACTTTCCGCGAAGCCAATCATCGCGGAGTTAAGCACTCTGAAAACCCCGTTCGGGGCCAGGTACGTCCAAGAAGCGTCATTGATGGCGGTATCTAAGCAAATATCTTCGGACCCGAGAAAAGCTTCAATAAGGATATAAAAAGGACTGGATGTCAGTCTAGAATGGAGAAGCACATCAACAGGCCCTTCTAGAGACACTAGCGAGCAACGGTTCAATTACGGTGATATCATTGACTAGTATCTATTACCCCGCCTCATTTTTGTTCAAGATCCTCTCACGACATCGTCGATAAACTTCGATATGCCTCAGCTTGTAGGAAAGACAGTAGGGCCAATTGGCTATGGGCTCATGGGTATGTTTTACGATTCATCTATTTTGCAAAGGCTAAGAGAAAACTAACAATTCAGGCCTCACATGGCGCCAAGACCCACCATCGCAAGAGCAGAGCTTTGAAGCTATGCGCACCGCGCTGTCGCTTGGAGCGAACAATTGGAATGGCGGAGAGCTTTACGGCACACCAGAACGTAACTCTCTGCATCTTCTCAACGAGTATTTCACAAAGTATCCCGAGGACGCGGAAAAGGTTGTTTTGTCTATCAAGGGTGGTCTCAAGAAGGGCTCATTCACGCCAGATGGCAGTCGAGAAAATGTTAGACGCAGCATTGATGAGTGTCTGAGGGTATTGGACGGCAAGAAGAGTCTTGATCTATTTGAGTGTGCTAGGGTGGATCCCAACACACCAATCCAAGATACCGTCAGTTACATCGCCGAGTATGTCAAGGAGGGCAAGCTGGGCGGCATCAGTCTGTCAGAAGTTGGCGCGCAGTCAATCCGAAAAGCGCACAGTGTGCACCCCATCTCTGCAGTCGAGGTCGAGTTCTCGTTATGGTCAACCGAAATTCTCGAGAACGGTGTCGCGGCCACATGCGCAGAGCTTGGCATTCCCATCATCGCATACTCACCTCTTGGACGCGGATTGCTCGTAAGTACATCACTCTCAACTGTAGAAGCTGGACGCTGATTAGTTCCCAGACGGGCAAGTACAAGAAGCACA